GAGCGCAGCCGGGTGAGAGCGTGCAGCCGGGTGAGAGCGCAGCCGGGTGTGAGCGCAGCCGGGTGTGAGCGCAGCCGGGTGAGAGCGTGCTGCCGGGTGTGAGCGTGCAGCCGGGTGTGAGCGCAGCCGGGTGAAAGCGTGCAGCCAGGTGCTGGGTGTTGCACTGCCTGCTGTGTGAGCGTGCGGGCTGAGTGTGTGCAGGCCTGTGTGCGGCTGTGCCTGAGCACGGGAAGCAGGGCGCTTTCCCAGATCAGTCCCGGCAGCCCAAGTCCTCTGCTGAGAGCCCAGCGGGGTGCTGGCCCCCCCCTCACCCCTTCCCACCCAGTCCCAGCCAGGGGAGGGCCTTCCCAGTGCGCTGGTGGCCAGGCGCCCTGACCCGCGGGCCAGCCCTCAGCTGGCATGTCCCGGGGTGGGCGCCAGAGGCCAGGGTGTGCGGGCGTGTCTGGGTCTCCCACAGCGGTGCCACTCCCCCGTGTCCCCACACTGTGGCCGCCCTGATTCTCCTGGCTTGAGCCATTGCTCCTGTACAAAGACTCCAGCTGCCACGGCCAGTCAGGTCACTGAGCAGGGCAACAAGGTCCCTGGACAGAGCACCCCCTGGCCGTGGCTCTGGCCCCTGCCTTCGGGGACAGCTGGTGGGCGGCTATTTCCAGCAGTGCTCCCCTGGGTGGGGGGCCCCAGGCTTTCGGACCTGCCTCCCTCCCTGCAGGGCCCTGACCCCAAGACACAGCTCCAGGGAGCCCACGTGGGAGGGGTGCCAGCAGGCACCCACGGTTTGGCTGTCCGGGCCTGAGGCTGGCGCTGGTGGGCAGGGTGCCTGCTCGCTGGGCTGCGGGCTGCAGGCTGCAGGTGTGGGCTCGGAGGGGCTGCTCAGTGCCTGTTCTGGTGCCCCGGGAACAAACGCCCCCAGCGCCGGCCCTGGGTGGCACAGAACAGGACCCCTGCCCTGCGCCCAGAGGCCCCCGACTGGGACAGGCTGCCTCCTCCTGGGCAGCCACCCTGTGCCCCCCGACCTGCCACCCGCCTCCCGCCTCGGGAAGCGGCTCCGCAGCTGGCAGGGCTCCCGCCTCCGCCTCCTCGCGGTGGGGCTGGAGCGCTGCGGAGGGCGTGGAGGGGCGGCTGGAGCAGCCAGAGCCTCGGGCCAGGCACTTACATCTTAATTGGTCGCCTTTTAAATACCATTTTAGGGAGGCCCCTGCCGGGCTGCCCCGGGAGGTGTCTGTCAGCCTCCATTACCTGCCGGCCGGCTCTCCCCAGGTCAGCGGCGAGCGGGGAAGGAGGAAGCGTAAGCAATGGCCGTCAGCCGCGGGGCGAGGGTCGATAAAGCTCTTAGGTTCGCGCGTTTCCGACCCCATTTCCTGCGGCTGAGTCGTTAATGGAGCTTAAGGAATCCCGGGCGCCGTATATCCCTCCCTCCGCGGAGACGCGGCTGTCAGGCTCCTTAATGAAAAGTAACGCGCCAGCGGTCACAGTTTTATTTGGGCCTTATGTAAAGAGCGCCGTTAATTTAGCGTCGCCTCCTCCGTGTGTTCGAATTCACCACGCCTGG